TAACACTTTGTACGTAATCAAGAATACTGCCTTAGTTTGTAATAAAGATAATCTTGAAGATGGATTAGTCCTTGTTAATATTGAAAAGAAGTTACGTGAAGAATGGATACTTGATTCTGGCTATTCTTTTCGCATGTGCCCAAATAAAAAATGTTTTCTTAATTTTGAAACAACTATTGGGGGACAAGTAATAATGGGGAACAATGTGACTTGTAAATTTAGTGGAATAGGTACAGTAAAACTACTACTTGAAAATGGAAATGTACTATTCTTGAAAGGAACTAGATATGCTCCTGAACTAGAGAGAAATCTGGTGTTTTTAGGCATGTTGGATGACATGGAGTTTGACATAAAATTGGGTCAATGACGCATTAAAATTCTTAGGGGCACTGAATTGATTATTACCACCCCTAAGAGACATGATCTTTATTTTTTGAATGCTAAACCTTTACTTGGTTTAATTGCTGCTGCTTTACCTCAAACGTTTTCTTTAGCAAAATATGGCATGAAAGACCTAGTCATATTGGCAAGAAAAGCTTAAATTCTTTGCAAAATAAAGGAGTTTTTGGAAAACAAAACCTTGGTGATTTTGGATCTTGTGAACAATGTGTTATTGGCAAGCAAGTAAAGTTACCTTTCTTACCTGGAATTCATAAATCCAAAAAAATAATTGAATATCTGCATGCTGATCTATGGGGTCCTGCCTATGTGACTACCTTGACTAGTTTTAGATATTATCTTTTGATCATTGATGATTTTTTTAGAAAAATCTGAGTTTTCTTATTAAAATCAAACGATGAAATTTTTTCCGTTTTCAAAGATTGGAAAACTCAAATTGAAAACCAAACTGATCACAAAATTAAAGTTCTAAGAACTGATAATGGTTTGAAATTTTGCAACTATGAATTCAACAATTTCTGCAAATAACATGGCATTTTAAGACATAGAACAATTGTTTACACTCAGCAAAATGACATAGCTAAAAGAATGAATATATCTGTTTTGGGGTGAAGCTGTAAAAAATGCCGCCTTTCTTGTAAATAGAACCCCTACTAGTGCCTTAAATTTTGAAGTGCTTGAAACTGTTTGGTCTAAAAATCCTGTTAACTATTCTTACTTGAAAATATTTGGCCGTGCTGCATATGCTCATCAAAATATTGGTAAATGGGAACCCAGATCACTTAAATGTGTTTTCTTGGGTTATGGTGAAAATGTTAAAGACTATACACTATGGGTTAAGAATGAAAAAGGCTATAGGGTGATTG